GAGAGAGAGAGAGAGAGAGAGAGAGAGAGAGAAAGCAAGTAAGAGGATGCATACGGGCATATTGTTCGTTTATGCTTGAGTAAGTGATTTGTGCAATGTTGTATGTTTATTATCGTGCATGAATGCAGTGCGTACATTTCTGTGTTGATTCTCAATCTTTGCATGTTGATATTCTGGTATATCCACCCTAAATTTCCTTCAGTAGTCAATAAAGTTTACATAATTATATCTTATCTGATCTTATCTCATCTCTATGTTATTATCGTTTATGTAAAAATACAAAGGTAACCGAGACTGGTTATTGTGTACACTATTACACGCTTGTACTTGTACACCTGTATAATAATAAATATACTTTAAAAAAATAAAAAGGACTCTTAACCTGAAGTTAACCGGGCCGGATCCGCATTACTTCGGAGATCCTTGAATTTGGATTAATCTAAAATTGTTAATCTATTAGAAGACAAAGACACCTTTCACTTTTGAACAAGGGGATGACGACCCTCCGTGTATGTCGTGAATTTTTTAAATCAGATATAAAGCCAGCATAACCAGTGAGAGCTAGACTGGTTTAAATTTAAGTAGTAATTCTTCATGAATTTTAGAATCAGAAATAAGACCAAACCTTGTATAAGTTCGATTTAAAAAACGAAAGTATCGGTAGTTAGTAGTTGTTTATATTCCATGGCTATTTTATGGTCTGTACATATGTATTTCAAATATGACCACAGTCCAAACAGAAACAGTAAAAGAGCTCCAAAACAAGCAGAGCCGATGTAAACACGACCTTGTCGCCGCAGGAGCAGCGCCAAAAAAAAAAAATTTGAGTTTATATATATTATATGTATATCTTTTTTAATGTATGTATAATATAAATTCATACATATATGCCCCTTTCATTCCAGGAACTTTGAAGGAGCGTGGCCTTGTGCCCTATAGTAAAACCAGCATGTCACAGCCAGGGAAAGGAAATAAGGACACTTATGAGGGCGGGATAGAAACCTATCGGCTGCCTTTTATTCCTGCTCGCTTTCGTAGAAGCAGATTGCTTAAGCTCATCCCTCTCTTCGACTACGAAGGAGAGTGATTCTCTCACCACACACACACAGGAGTTGCAGATAAAAGAATGCATGAAGCTATTGTTATCCCGGTGGGTTTAAATGTTTGCAACATACTGGTTTATGTAAATCTTAATATTTACCTCACGTTGGAAATTTAGAGCGTTTCTGAAAGATCCGTGTCTTTTGTGAGATTAGGGACAGGAATAGAAAAGATCATGTGAAGACCGTGATCTTTTTGAGTGTGATTATGCCGCATGCGCATGCCTTA